TAGTTTCTTGTTGCCTTCTTCATAATTTTGAATTCAATTTCTCTTCTCTTAGCCTTGTTGCTACCCAAGGTGAGAGATTCCAGTCTATTTTCTGTTTAGCCCATAGCTGGGAGCAGGGAGAAGAGATAAATTTATGCCTGTCCCAAGGGCATTAGTGTGAAAGTGAATGCAACAGACCAACCCAGAATTTAAACTTGAATTGCTAATTCCACTTCCCATGCCAATATCTATTACACTACCCACATGGCCGAATGGTTAGAACATTAACATTTCGGCCATGAGGCCCAGCTTTGAATCTCACCATGATTGATTTGTTAAAGGAGTAACTTCTTGGTATGATATTACATGGAGACAATTCTAAGGTGTGGTGCCATTGAGAAGTGCCTGAAAATCATATCATGGGTTGACTCAAACCTTGTTAGTTAAATTGGGTAGATGAAACTGTTCAGAAGTCATCAATGGCTGTGCTAGCACAAAATCACAAGCTATCATGACTGATAGGCCTTGTTCAAAGTGGTGATCACACCAGATTATACACTGTCTCCCAGAAATTGTAACAAAGGTCTACTCAGTATCTTATTTTATGTGCCATGTCCCTTCAGCATATAGGCAATCATAGTCCTTCACATCTTCCTAATAAATTTTGTCTTTTTGTTATTTCTCCCAAACCCTGTTTTACCATTCATCAAGTATGTTACATGCTACTTTCCTCTGTCCCTCTATCTGTCTTGTGAGTATCAGATATTCCAAGCCCTCTTTTCTCATTATGTGCCCCAAAAATTCCAACTGATCTCTTCCTATACTGTATAAACCACAGGTTGTCTCTGTGGGTGTTGAAGAAATACAAATGTGCCTGAACAAGTGTCTGCAACAGGGATTAGTAGCCACCTTAGCATACTCAGATGCAAACACCTAGCCATACATGCACATAAAATACATGTTTCACTCAACAATAACAGTATAGTTAATGATATTTGTGTTTTAATTTCAAAAGCAAAGAGTACTGGAAACTTACATAATATCAGTCCTCCTATATGGCAGTCAATGCTGGACAATATCCTCACAGATAAAGAAGAGACTTGAAGTAACAGAAATGTGATTCTACAGAAGGATGCTGAGAATAACATGGACTGAACATGTTAACAATGAAAATGTTTTAAGGAAATTGGAAACAAAAAGGATACTGATATTTAACATCAGAGAGTTGAAATTTCTAGAGAATATAATGAGGAAAGAGTGCTTAGAAAATTTGACACTCAGATGACATATTGAAGTCAAAAGGGACAGAGGAAAGCAGTGCATAACTAAATGGTTTTGCAGAACAGGGATTAGAAGAGATAGCAAGAAGACCAATTTTACTAAGAACTACGAAAGACAGGAAATTGTGTGGAGCTACGATTACCAACATCCTGAAATGACATGGCAAGTAGAAAGATGATATTGTCATACAGATATTTATTTACAAATTTTCAAGTTACATAATAAAATCTTATATAAATGAATAATTTGTTGAAAATTGTTTTTAATAAAAACATATCCTAAGCTGAAATTCACATCATATAGCCTGAACATTTTTATCCCTGTCAATTGATTAATACCAATTTTATTGTGAAAACATTGACTTACATAATAAAATCAGACAGTATAATAATAATAGCTGGCCACTCATATTCGAGGATACTCTTCTACTAGGGTGGATAGCCAATCCCTATTGCAGACGCTCACTCAGGCACATTTGTGTTTGCTCAACACCCACAGATCCCACCTGTGGTTTATAATGCAACTATGCTGAGCAGACCTTAGTTACAGTTTCTGGGAGAGAGCGTGTTATCTAGTATGGTCAACATTTTGAACAAGGCCAGCACACTCAAGCCCTTGGCCATGATGACTTGTGGCTTCATGCTAACACAGCTATTAACGGTGCCCAAGAATTCCGTCTACCCAATTCAAATCACAAGGCTTGGGTCAACCCATGGTATGGCTTTCGGGCACTTTTCAAAAGGTGACACACGCTGGGATTGAACTTGATTCAGTCCGATAACATCAGGAAGTCTCCTTCCTGGCAAATCAACTATGGTGAGATTCAAACCCAGGTCGCATGGTCGGAAAGCAAATGTTCTAACCACTCGGCTATATACATATATATATATATATATATATATATATATATATATATATTTTAAGACATTTTTATGTTTATACATTTTTTTATAGATACAAATATTTAAGTAAATGCTCTGTTTATAATAAACAGTATTCATAGCATTTACCGGGCTGAATGTCCAAGAAATTTTCATAGAAAATATTTGTGAGGCTGGTAAATGTTATGAATAGTGTTTATTATAAACAGAGCATTTACTTAAATAATTATATCTATAAAAAGGATGTATAAACATAAAAATGTCTTAAAATAATTGTTGGACTTTATCCATTTCATAATAAATATATATATATATATATATATATACATACACACACACAAGCAAATGAGAGGTTGTCTCATATTTTATTAAACCAATCTGGAACATGCACGAGATAGTGAACTTTCAATAGTAGTCATTGTATGAAATAATTCGCTAAGATTGACTTCCTGTTCCCATAACAAGCAGATTACCATGTGATAGCAAACACACCCTTCCACAAGTGTACATTTCCTCCTCCTTTGACTCTGGCTGCTGACAAAGATATTTAGTCTGTAGTCAACTGAGGTTAGAAAGTTCCTTAAAAAACTTTTTTTTAAATATCAGAGGGGAAGAAATAAAAACTAAGAAAGAGAATGGAGTTTACAATTTTCTTTTTTTTTCATTTTCCTATTCTTTTTTTTAACCTGTAATTTCATTTTATGTGCCATCTGAAATTTTCTTTGTCCTTGAGAAAAGCCTAAAAACTTAAAAAATTGCTATCCCAATGAAATTTCTTTGTTCTTGAGAAAAGCTTGAAAACTTAAAAATTTGTTATTCCTAATAATAGTATCAAACTTCATTGGCAAAGGTCTTTGGAGTCAGTTTTGGATTTTTTTTTTCTTTTTCTTTCTTTACAGAAAATTATGTTTCTAATATTAAAATAGAAATGCACAAAATCCCATTGGTAGCAGACTTCTTTGCAAAACAACTTCACTTTGCCCAGGTAGTCATGTGATAAAACATTTTCTCCTTGTAAATTAAAGTGATTTCTATAATTTGATATAATATCTAACTTATTAAATAATCATTTTGTATATTACTCAATCTTTAATAAGCAAAATTGTTATTTCTATTTGAGAACACTTTTCGAATTGAAGGAAGAAAAAAAGTACAATGATTCCATCTAGCAACTTGAATAAACAAATCTAGTAAGACAAAAAATTAATGGCAGCCCAGAACAAGATAATTTTTTTATGAAAACCTGAGCCTTGCAATTAAACAAAGAAAATGTAAGTGCAAAAAAAAAAGAAAGAAAAATATATATGTGTGTGTGTGTTAAAATACCACATTTTTAATAGTAATTTTTTTTTTGTTGGATCAGGTAATGAAACAAATCCACTGGTTTAGTAGGAATAAACAAGAACTGACATCACAGAGGCAAAATAACAATAATTAAACAGATATATTAGCCAAACAATAAGAAGTTACACTATTTACATTATTCAGACTATTGTCCTCATCTTTGTCGGCATATTTATCACAATTTTTTGGCCGTTGTATGCTCCGGCCTTCTTCAGGCGGTTGGAATGTCAAACCAAACCCCTTTTTTTTCGCTCACTGGGGTAGACTGTTCTAGTTCCATGTAAAAAACATGCAATGATAACAGCAAAAATTGCAATATGAGCACTGTTGAAAATTGACTGAAGACATTAGGTTTATAATACCCAGAAATTCATACACAGATGTCCTCAAGGACACATGGCACAGTGGATAAAGGCATTAGTTAGATCCAATGTCAGGACCCAAACAGTGTGAGTTCAATACCTGAGGGGAATTAACAGGAGATAACTGACATCCATTAGACATGGCATGTGGAACTAGAACAGTCTACACCATTGAACGAAATAAAGGGTTCAGTTCGACATTCTAACCACCTGAAGAAGGCTAGAGCGTACAACAGCCAAAACATGATAAACATGGCAACAAAGATGAGGACAATAGTTCAAATAATGTACATAATACCTCATATCAGAAATATAGACAGATGATCAGAAGTTAGTTGGCTGAAACATTTTCTCTATAATAATCAAGATGCAAACAGTATTTGTAATAAATTGAAGTACATAAATCAGTTTTATTCTCTCAAAAATATAGTGTTTTCTATTTATTTTAATTTTCTCACTGGGGGACTTAAGTATAATTTGTGAAAGCAGAAAATACTTTTTTTTTCTTTTTTTAAATCAAGAAATTTCAATATTGGTGCATATGGTTTTCTTGCCATGATATTGACATTTTGCCAGACAGCAGGATTGTCGAGACCACAGAATTCTCGATTCTTCTGCCTTGGCATTGATCAGTGATCCTATCCACACCTTTAACAACATATCAATTTCTGTCCACCCACAAACACAAAATGGAAATTAGACAGATTTTAATCACCAAGAGCAAAGATAACTTTATTACATTACCAAATTTACTCAATGACTAAAAACTCAGTATGTATTTGCAAATGATACCATCTTACCAGCCTACACAAATGTTCTTGCCAATGCACCCTATAAAAGTATCATGGCAATAACTCAGCCTCTATGTTTGACCATGTCTGATGATTTAAAAATAATTTAATTTTGTCACCGTTCCAAAAGGTTAAATCAGGAAAATATTAAGGGACTAGAGTTTTTTGTTTTGTGGCACAAATAAAATTAGGTTTTGACCAATAACATTTTGTTCCACACCCTCGTTCATTTTCAGTGTTGATTTTGCCAGTCTTTCTTGGAATTATTTTTCTGATTTGGTTTTAGAAGACTCCATTTTTCTCTTCATTCTTTGTATTCTTTTGCATTTTTTTTCTCTTATGTAGAAAGTTTCTTTTTTCTAATGAATATTTTTTTTTATTCATGGTTGTCCTCTCTGCTTTTTCCCCTCCTCTCTTATTTCCTTTTCTATCACTCATTTATATCTTTTCCCCTTCATCCTTTCTATTATTCTTCTCCATCCTATTTTCATTTCTTCTTTCTTTCTCTTCACCATCCAAGTTTTCTTTTTTTTTTTCTCTTCACCTGTTTCCACACTTTAACTTCTCTTTACGCCCACATTCATTTTTCCTTACGTCAGTACTTTATCTTTTTATCTCTAATTAAGTCTTCTTTTCATTTGTCTTCCTCATCTCTTTCTTTCAATCTCATTCTTTTATTTCTTTTTCCTTCTCTTTCCTTCAATATCAATCCCCCACCATTATACTTTCTTTTTAATTTCTCTCCAATGATTTTACTTTTATGGCTGCTTCCAATCATCAAGATTGATAAACATTTATCCCCTCACTTCAGCCATACCAACACACAGCCATAATCACTGCTCAGCTATCTCCCTCTTTACAGCACTTGAGGCTGAGAAGGCTGACTGTTGCCTTTTCTTACACAAAAGGTACAATTAAGTCAGAAGGTACACTTTGGTGACGTCATATCAATTGTATACAAATATCCTTGTTTTTATTTTCAAATTTGCTTCCTTCTACAGTCAGTGGCAATATGTTTTTACTTGCATCATCAAAATTTTGAACTGATGTTGCACAAAATAAAGACAATACAAGGGTTAACTTTCAGGAACCCCTCCATGTTATTGTCCTGACAGACTCTAGAAGCAAAGATATTTACAAATATGACATTATAAGCCATGTGTCACACCCTTGTCAGCTGTAGAGGGCAATCCTCAAATGTCAGGAAGAGACAGCTACTGCGTGCTTTTGAGAGAAATGATGTCAGTCACAGATTTAAGTAAATAAAATTTGCAAGAGGTGCATTCAGTAGAAAAGCTTGTTTTCAATTTTTGTAATTTTAATATTTTTTGCTTTTCTCGGGTGAGGTTCTGCCAACTAATTAGAAAGCAAGACAACTTGAAGGAATCAATTCTAAACACTAAAAACAGACTTTGGTGCACCATTACTGTCGAAGAGGGAACTTGAAATATGATCTGGAAGATTAATTAATTACTACACCATTACAGGTAATTAAAGGAATGTGAACACATGTATACACAAGCATGATTCTTCAGTATCGGTCCATATTTCTGAGATGAGGTATAATGTACACTATTTACATTATTCAGACTATTGTCCTCATCTTTGTCGCCATATTTATTAGAACGTTTCGGCTGTTGTACGCTCTGCCCTTCTTCAGGTGGTTGGAATGTCAAACTGAACCCTTTATTTCGCTCGCTGGAGTAGAACATTCTAGTTCTACGTGCCATGTTTAATGGATGTCAGTTATCAGTTATCTCCTGTTAATTCCCCTCTCCAAGTTTTCCACTGCCTTAACCGGGTATTGAACTCACACTCTTTGGGTCCTGTCACTGGATCTAACCAATGCCTTTATCCACTGTGCCATGTCTCCTTGAGGACATATGGCACAGTGTAATAAATATGGTGACAAAGATGAAGACAATAGTTTGAATAATGTAAAGCATGATCCTATTTTATGCCTATATAAAAAGCCCAGAAAGCAAAACCTGTTCAAAATTTTAATTTTTTTGTGGTTTTCAATAGAGGCTTTTGAATGAGTATACAGTATTTTTGTTTTTTAATCATTTCACCCAAAGCAAGGTACTATAGTCACTAAGATACAACTGAGTGATGGAAAATGAGAAAAGGGGTTACTGAGAAAATGTTGAAAAATGGACAATAAAAAGAATAGAATTCAAGCAGACACAAGATGATGATTGATGCTGCATTTGAATTTTTGAAGGAAGGAGAGAAGCAGCCATTAGAATAGAACTTATGGTTATGCTTAATAATTTCAACAGTAAAATGATGAGTTTAGAACTACATCTAAATTCCTGAAGTCGTGGCACCAAAGAAGAGAGTTCATTGAAGCAACTATCAAACCAAATATGTTTTAACTGTTACTGTATTAGTAACATAACATAAAATTATGCTAACTACTCAGGGATAAGGTTTGGATAAAATACCTACTTAAAAAAAAAAAAAAATCTGTACCACAGTATTTTTAAAAAAGTGAAAATTATGATTCTCAAAATTGTTAGGTCTGTTGCTTATGTAAAAGCCATTGCAACATGTATATAAATTTCATTTCCATATTATAAACAATTTTTTTTTTTTTTTATATTCACATTTTACTGTGCCTTTCCACACCCCATCTATGAAGAGCATGAAAAATAATTTTCAATGAGAAATTCATTCTTCACTCTTCCTCTCAGATATCAGCCACAGAGGGTCAGTGATTAGGTAAGGTCATATCAGTATTATGCTACTTTCCCTGTTCTGATTTTGCATTTATTTTTTTTAATCAGTTTCACCCCAAGCAAGGCAGTAAAATCACTAAGACACAAGAGGTTACTGAGTGGGGAAGAATTAGGAACAGAAATATTACTAATGAGCAGAAAGGGAAAAGAGTAATCAGGAGTATAGTAGATAGCAATTGACATTGCATTTAAATTTTGGGAAATTAAACTTGACTGGAAAGCATGGAGCCAAAAGGGAGTTCCACAAGCAAGAAGTGTGAGAAAAGAAACCGTCAGCATAGAATTTACAGCTGCATTTAGCCAGCTCAACTGTAAATTGATGATATCTCGATGCCAGTCTAGTACTGCGCTTAAATTTAAAAAGTCTAGATACCATAGTGAAGAGCTCATCTGAACAATTATCATGGTAGTATATTTATATAAAAGACACAGAAAGGCAACATTATGACAGTGGGAAAGTGACTGAAGTTGAGCCACCAGACCAAGACCAAAGATATTGCCAATCCTTCTTTGGATTTTATCAAGGTGCTCATGGTAAATAGCAGGGGCACTGGACCATATGTGGCAGCAATATTCTCATCATGGACATAGACATAGATTTTACAATAGATTCTGGAGATTTTTATTCAAAAGTATGTATTAATCAAGTGTTATGATATAAAGTAATAAGATGTGTAAAATTTGTAAGAATAAGTGCTTACCTGATTAGTGCCCATTGTCACATTTTGGGGATGGTAGACATCAAGAAGTCATAGGTCAAATACCAACATATATATTTTTTTTTTTTTTAAGAAATCTATAATTATTACTGGATATTTACAAAAATTTTATAATTTATACCAGATTTTACAGTGGGCATTAGTGAGTTAGGAATATAAACAGTTTCAAAAAAATAACTTAGGATAAATGTTTGTTTGTTTTTTTTATTTCTTTTCATTCAGGGGTTTTGTTTTTGTAGCAAAAAATCTGTGAACTTCAATGAATATCACTTTTTCCTTGTCTCACCATGTTTCATTCTGGAGGCTCACTTCTTCATATCGGATTCTGATACAAAATAAAAACTATCCAAAGAAAACAGGAGAATATACCAAAATAGGATATGCCTACTATTCAGAAACTTTACTGAATATTAACAAGACTTCATCTTACTAAGTTTCAAACTAAAACTTGAGATTTCAACTTTTGATTGAGATTTTGTCACTATGTCATCTGCTGAAGCAGTGAATGGCACTCATGATGAAGATCTGGGAGATGATTAGAAAACATTACAATATAAACTACCAGAACTTATCAAAATTCTATGGTGTATCTTTGTAATTTATAAATATGACATGATCCAGTTCATTACTTGTTTACAAAATTGTTGTACCAGACTAGTTCCAAAATGACAAAATAGAAAATGTTTTATGATTGACATTGCTATTGGAAACAATGAAGTCACTAGCCAGTATTTTAAACAGTATATAAACATTCTCTCATGCCTTGTCAATGTATCCTGAAACTGTGAAATTCTCTAAGCCCTCTCTTCATTATATAACACAAACATTTCAACTGCGCATCCTGGGTATGACGATAAACTACATCCAACAGCAAGACCTCTGATCAGGAGGTTTTGAAGAGCTTGGAACCATCTCTTAATTGCTGGTGTTCCCAGGTCCACCCTGACCTGGGGTGGTAGCACCTGCTATGGGCAAATAGTTAACCCCGAAACTGATGTTAAAAGCGTAAAAATGGGTTTTAATACCAGAGATACTTTGTAAAAGATTTGTTACAAGAAATAAATTTTTGAAGAAAAAAAAAACTTACCAGCAATATATTTTTGAAAAAAAATATTACCAGCAATACATTTTTGAAAAAAAAAATATTACCAGCTATACATTTTTGATGAAAAAAATATTACCAGAAATAGATTTTTGACAAAACAAAATATTACCAGGAAAAAAAAGTTAAATAACCCAATGAGATTGATATGCCATAAAACACAACAAACCAAACCAAAAATTTCAACTGACTTTTTCTGATTCTAAGTATATATTCTTTTAGTTCCTATTTTCCTTAAAACTTGTTTTCTGCTCACATGTTCCTTTTTTATGGTATTCTCAGCATTCTTCTGTTGAATCATATCTATGTTGCTTCAAGTTCCTTTGAGGGGGATGTTGTTCAGTAATCACTGCTATATAGTAGGATTGATATTACATAGCTGTTCAACACTTCCTTGATTGTTTTTAATAAAAAATTTTCCTGTTCTTTAATACTTTGCTTAGCTTTTAGAAGGCATCCTATGATATTCCATTGCATTTTTTGATTTTTATGCCACATTTTTCCATCTGTTATAACAGCATTGTCTTTTAACACTTCCCAAATAGTTAAATTTAATGTCTCCCATTCTTAGCTTACATCTTGGACTGTCTTTCTTGCTAATGATAATAGTCCTCTTTTTTTTCTTGCTTTCCTTTACTACCTTTTCTAGAAGTTCTACAGTTTTCCTTCTGTCTATCAACACATCTGCATACCTTATATTGTTAAGATTGTGTCCATTACTAATAAATCTTACTAGGACTAATACAGACTTGAAAAAAATCAGTTTTCTGGCTATGAAATACTGGTAGTGGTAATAACTTTGCTAAAAGTTTATCATTGACAAATTACAGTATCTTTCTAGAATTTGGAAAGGAGCCATGGTTAACTTGTAATTCAAGAATTTAATGTTTCCTCATGTCTGTAAGCCAAAACCATTAGAAATCAGTATTGAAAAACAAGTCTGTTTACGTATAAATAGATCAAAGAATCAACCTATTCTTCAAGAGATGGTAACGCTCAAACATTGCCTCATACATCTGCGTGGGGAAATCCTTCACACTCCTGTTACTTTGCCTCTATGTAAAATATAAGAAGAGACTGGCACCTATAATAATCAGGAAGTCTTTAAAAACACCCGGATATGACGCATTAATGAAAAACCATAACATCCTGCAACTATAAATAGCAAAGATGACTTTTGTATCTGATACCTTATCAGAGAACACTGAACAGGTTGTTTTGAGAAGGAACAAGACATGCAATGAGAAATTTATTGTCTAATTCTGATTAAC